GGAAAGAGAAAGTGGACCACAGCTGGTCTCAGGCAGACACTACTATTCTGTTTCATGAAGGTTTGGAAGAAACCTAGAACTTTTAAGCTTCTGAATTTCACAGTTTACTGTCAGTGCGCAAACTCTCTTTACCATCAACTTTTCTAAGTGTTCTAAGTAAATGCACAGGAAACTGGTCTTCAGAGGGGCCTCAGAGGCACCAGAAGGATCTGCTTGTACTGTTGCTCCTCCTCATTCTTCCTTCTCTTCACTATCACCATCATTGCTAAAATCTATTAAGCACTTACTATGTGTCTAGCACCCTGCTAAGATTTTGTGTATGTTTAAGCTTTATAACAATCTTATGAGTAGCTGCTATTAACTCATTTTTCAGAAGATGAAGGAGGCTGTGAGGTTGTTTAACTGCCTCAAGGTCACACAATGAGGAGCAAAGTCTGGATTAAAACAGATCTAACTCCAGAGAATGTGCTCTTAACTGCAAAGCTATACTCTTGCCTTAAAGGATTTACAATGGGGCATAGGATCAAGGAAAATCGGACCATATATGTGGATCTAAGATAAGCTGTATTTACATAAGTCATAGGGTCAAGATTTAGAGGTGGTTAATCTGTGATCTGTAGACACCTTAGTGTCTAAAAATAGATTTTGGCAGGTTTGTAACCCTCTAAAACAGGAGTCACCAAAATTTTCTTAAAGCACCAGAGAGTTAACTATCTTAGGCTTTGCAGGCCATGTGGTGATACAAAACACTCAGCTCTACTATTGTGCAAAAAACAGCCACAAGTCTACAAATGAAAGGACAAGGCTATATTCCAATAAAACTTTATTTACCAAAACAGGCTCTTAAATAGTATGCAAATTCTATGTGCGTATGTACATAGTTTATTTATTATTGTTGTTGGAAGATCCATAGTTTTCCCTGGCTTCTCAAGTAGGTTCAAAATCCAAGATGGCTAAATGGTTTCCAAGCCCTCTAAACTTCACAATTTTCCAGGATTCTGTGATTCTACATGTCTTTTAAATTAACACTCTCCTAGAGAGTCTTTCTCTTTAGCAGGTTCATTTGATAGATTGTGCTATGAACTCTCAAGTGGACTATAATTACTGTCTGTTGAGAAGGAAACACAGACACATTGCCATTTAATCCTTCTTTGGTTTACCTGGCCAGATGACACTGGCTGAGACACAAATACATTTCAGTCTGGAATACAGCAGCTTAGTCCTGCACCAGCTAGTCTGAGGTTTGCTGAGGCTTTTTCCTTTTCCCGGAGACCACTTTCTGTGTTCCACTGAGTCTTCTCCAAAGAAAGGACTCACTAGTCCTGACCACACTGATAGGCAGTTTGGATTCTTGGAGTCAGCCACGTCTGCCTAGGTACTGTGTTGAGAAATGTGTTTGCCTGGTGCATCTCTGCATCTGTTCAGGGACCCTCTGTCTCCTAAGAAAACATGGTCCTTTTTCTCAGGATTCCCCGGTTTCATGAGTTACAGCATCTTACTTACTGCCTACGATTACACTAACATGTACCTTAACCCTGCCTCCCACTCCATGTGACTTGTTTTCCCCTAACTAGAATCTTTAGGCGGAGACCATTGGTTATATTCCATTGTGTCCACAACAGAGCCTGGTTCCATGCTTTGCATGTATTTTTTTAGGTTATTAGCACTGAGATCCCTGAAAATTACAGCCAGTTTTAAATTCCTGCATTACTTTTGAAATCAAAATAATGATTATCCAATCCACTTGAATAAAAAGCAGGATTAACTGCTTTAAATTTTAGGGAAAAAAAAAGATACATTACAACAAAAAAGGACACATACTATGAATCATAATGCGATTGTGTTTATATTCCAGGTTGCTGAGAATGGAGAATTGGGGATAGGAGAAGCAGCAGGAGAAAAGACTGAAGGAGAGAAAGAAATGATAGAGGAGAGGAGAGTGAAACAAAAGGAATGAAGAGACAAAGAGGAATACAAGCGAAAACGGTGAATGTAGTCTGTAGATAACCAGCTACTGCTGGGTTGAAATTCAGTGTTATTATGATGCAGCTATTTCTCACAGCAAGTACCCCCCTCTCCTGCCCAAAGAAAGAAATAAACCAGCAAATGAAAATAACACAAATATAAATCACTTAACCAGTACTTATGGAGACTTTATTTCATATTAGACTCTTATCACATCAGGGTTAGTGTTAGCTCTCTGAAATGAACATTGATAAGAGGACCACATGGTGCTGACTGTACCCCCAACTAATATTTCAGTTCAGCTTTAATTATCATGTTCATCTGGTGGCTGCATGGTGCCATGTAAATAGAAATGGGTCGTGGGAGGCCTGGGTTCTTGTCCTGGCATCTCATTATATGACCTTGGTTGGCCAATCTCTGTGCCTTGGTTTCCTCATTTGTCAAATGTGAATAGGAATTCCTTGCTCTGTCTACTTCACAGGGGTGTTAGGAGGAAGGGGAATGTAGAAGAAAATAGACGACTGTATGTATGTATATATATATATACATACATACATACTTGGATAAGTATAAAATACCAGATAAATGTAAAACTGACCTTGTTCTTTTTTACTTAACAACGTAGTGGGTAGGCGGGGGTGGGGACGATGGCATTTTGCGCAGAAGGCTCAGTGACTCAATGAAGTCTGTTTTTTTCCCCCTCAGTAGTATCTGGTCTGAGATTATTACTGCTTTCTTGATGTTTTTAGGTATACTTTCCCCCTTCAGAAATGCCAAAGGTGAAAAATACTATTCTACTGGTATCATTTGTCACCCTCGCTGCCTGAGCAAGATGTGCATAGACAGTTTAGTAATTAAGCTTTTCAACACTGCATCATAAAGTTTTATTCGTGCAAAGGCTATATTTATCAGCTAACAAGTATTAAATCACCCCACTGCTCAAGCCGTTTCTCACTTGAATATGCTCCTTTCAAAACACAGCAGTTTTCCTTGGCTAGCTTGATTAATAAACGCTCGTTTGAAAATACTGTGGTGCGGTGTGGAGCTGTGGGGCTGACATGCATACACCTTGGCAGCTGTTCCAAAGGTACTGACCCCTATTTCCCAGGGGAGCATGATACCTTAGCCCCGGGTCTTTTAGGGTATCCTGGCCATCTGAGTTTCACAGCCCTCTGGGATGGCTTCCAACACAAGATAATCCCATATCTATTTCATTTCTACAAGGAAAGGGGTAAGTGAAAATGAACACAAGCATTTGATACGTTTTACTTCCTTATTTGAGCATCAGGGAATTGGTCTGTTATATCAGAGATAGATCTAAATGTAAAATGAATTTTCAAAACGATTAAAGTAACAACGATCTACATTATAAGTAGGGTTGAGTTTTTTTCCTATATTGCCATAGTCTTCTCAAAACAGATGCAGAATTATTAGGGAAACACACTTAAAATAAATAGATATTGAAAGTCATCAGTAATGGTTTAAAAGTTCTGTCTTTAAGTAACCCATCCCACTTTAAAAAATTGTATTCTTTTCTCTCTTTTTTGGAGAATATACATTCATGAGATGAATATACATTGTTCTTAAAGCTTCAAGATGCTTTCAGTCAAATAGCTCCAGAATTATATTAAAAACAAAATAGTTAATACATTTGAAAGACTTTTCTACCATATTTTAAGGGTAAAACCAAAATAAAGACAAATGTTCATCAAATATGGGCCAAAATGATGAAAGAAATCTCAATATTTTCATCTCATCAAACCAGAGACATCATTAATTTCCCTTTTCCTTTCTCTGTTTTAAAAAACAAGTAATATTAGCCACATGTAGGCATTTCCATTTTTCATCAATTGATTGTTCAAAAACACATATAATAACATTCCATAAAATCACAAGATCCAGTTATAGATACATAAGCAGGTTCTGCCCAGGTGTATGTGTATGATTAGTGGGCATACAAGTGTGAAATTGTAGGTACTACTAAGTTAAGAAGTCTTTAGTTTGAGAAGTTGCAAAAATTTCTTTCCTTTCAAAATGATAAAATAAAACTCACCATTTTGCTTTTCAAATTAGCAATAGGTAGCTTGTTTGGAAGGCTGAGGATCAATTTCTCTCCAGCCAGCAAATCGTGGGGTTGTCACTGAAGCATGTGGGTCACAGAACCACTAAGTTGGCAAATATTGAATTATTTTAAGTGCATCTATTTTCTGGCTCAGTAAATTTTTTTTTGTTGTATTAAAGTCATTAAACTTGACACAGTCTAAATGTCACAGCACATACTGGAATGTACATAAAGACAACAGCAGTAGCCATAGAAGATAACAAAAGGTAAAGATCGATATACTTTCAGTTTCTATTTAATTTTTATGTCATTGTAAGACTGAATTTTTTTTAAGGTTAAAAAATACTGGGCGACTTGGAAAGTCAAGTTGAATCTGGTTATTATCTGAAAATTTAAAGAGCAGTTAAGTTGTCTTCCAGGCTTCGATCTTAGAGATCTGGACATATATGACCTGCAATTCAGGATCATTTAATAACTTGGGAGAGAAATGAAAAACAAAAATTTCACTCTGTTATTCATAGTTCAAAGGAATCCTGTAGTTCAGTAGTTTGCAAAAATATTGAATCAAGAGCATATTTGAAGATTAAAACAAGACTTTGATAATGATTATTCTTTATGTGGAAGTGAAATTTTCACAAAAATAATAAAGATTTGGGAACATAAATTGTTACTTTGATTTGACTAATTTGGGGGGAAGGTCATTCGTTATTCTTAAGCACTACTTTTCCTCCAACATGCGGTAGTCATGGAAACTCAGAGAAGTGGCAAAAGGTATAAAGTCCAAGAAATTTTTATTCTAGTATGGGTTGTAACTATCAAAATGATAAAATCGATTTTAAATTCCATATTAAAAAATGACAAGTGAAGAACAATTTTCCGGTAATTTCTCTCAACAAAATAGAAAACAAGATAATCAATAACAGAAGATTGTGAAAAGAAAAACTCAAAGTTCATGAAGAGAATAAGAATACAGGTACTAAATATGATTCTTTAAAGCTTCCAGAACACATAGGGCAGAAGCAATGCAGCCATCAAAGTTGGACTGAGTAAATCCATCCCCTCCACACACAAGGAGCGGTTTGAGATGAAGAGTCATTTGGCCGGGATAGTTGGCAGCAGCATTTGTAACCTGAAAGAGTAAAACAAAAATAATGTGGGCGGGGAGACTGCAACTGACATTATGTTCTCTGTTGTGTTGTCATGTCGACTCCCATCTGGGAGAGGCTTCTCAACCTGTAGAAATCGAGATGTCTCACAAGGAGCAATGGAAAACAAAACCAGGAGCCCCTATGCTTCCCCTTCAACCAAGTGTTGACACTGACATTCTTACATGTTTACATATCCAATTATTTGAAAAGATAATCAGAAATGGGTTGAAGTTCAAAATTAGTAGGTCATAATATATTGAATTAGTTGAAAGTACAGTGATTTTTTTGTATAAGAAGGAAATGATATTCATGAAATCACTCATCGATTATATTGAGTTCCTGCTACGTGAGAGATTATTTTCTGGAAAAAAATATGTATTCTCAAAATAAGAATGTATATTGCTAACAAGCATTCACAGCCAGGAGAAGGAGTAGGAGGTGAATGCAGTAATCTTGGACACTGAAATGGTTTGGCTACTGATGCACCAAAAAAACCCCAAATCACACTAATTTATTATAAAGGCATTCTCACTAGGTATTGTTTCCCTACCCAACTTTGGGGAGTGCCATTCACAGACTGAAATTGAAATTGGCAGTTCTGGTCTCTCCTGTAGTGTTTTCATAAAGAATTAATAAGATTTGTTTGTTTAAAAATCACACCAAAACAAAACAAAACAAAACAAAACAAAAACAACCCAGAAATGTAATAAATGCTGTTTGGATTATGGAGCTGAGATTTTTGGTTCTAGATAGGCTGAGTTAGTATATGCTTTTACAATTTTTTAAAACAGAAAATCTTTGGCTAGGTATTTTTTACTTATATGTCATATTTTGCTTTCAAAAAGAAGTGGTACAATAATTTCTTTGTTGAATCTCTAAAGCTAGGGACATTTAACGACCTGCGTCACCAGGATGCAAATGTAAAATGTTAAGAGTCTCCTCTTACTTTTCTGGAAGTCACTTGATAACATCGTCTATCATCGACATTGCAGATGATCTTGCTATTTAAGTTACGGCATAGTTTTAATTTATTGTGTTGAATTGTAACTTCATTTTCCCCCAGTTTTGTTGAGGTATATTTGACAAATAAAAAATGTATATATTTAAGGAACACAACTTGATGTTTTGATTTACATATACATTGTGAAATAATCACCATAGTCAAGTGAATTAACATATCCAGCAGCTCACTGTTACTTTTTTCCTTTGTGACACGCTTTGTGATCTATCTCTTAGCAGATTTCAAGTATACTAGAAAGTATTGTAACTAGCTGCACACTGGGGCTCTCCAAGACTGATTCATCTTGCACAGCTAAAACTTTGTACCCTTTGGCAAACATGTCCCCATTCCCCACTCCCACCAGTTCTTAGTAATCTTAGTAATCACCATTCTACTCTCTGCTTCTATGAGTTTATTTTTGATTCCACATATAAGTAAGATCATGCTGTATTTGGTATTTGTCTTTCCACAGCCAATAATCTTGCAATCAGCAGAAAAGAATTTTGAGTGGCTGAAACAGACAGCACATAGTGCAGGCACTGAAAGGACAGGCTTGGGCATTCAGTCAGAGCTTTTAAACTCCTGCTTTGGACGGAATTTTAATAAGTTGGATTATTTGATTTGTCAGTGAAACACTAAGGGAGAAAGAACACTGTTAGGTTCCTATATAAATTAGCAATTTAGAATGTGTTAACTGATAAAGTCTGAAAGCAAGGGACACTATGTGAACACTCAGAAACCAGATGGGACTGGGAAGAAGCCTGGCAGTGTGGAGACATGTCGTGGAGGAGCAAACAACTTTGTGGCTCTTAATAGGCTCTGAGATTGCCAGTTATTTGTGTTCTTGAAATCATTAGTGCTCATCATGATGGCCCCAATATTTATGAGTCAGTTCTAATGTGCATAAAGTACTAATTGTTAGCACTACTTGAATGTTCGCTGCATACTAAATGCTTTATATGCACGCCCCATTTAATTCATACGGCAACTCTATGTGGTGGTTACTATTATTCTCATTTTATAGATAAGAAAACTGAGACACAGAAAGATTGTTACTTGCCCAAGGAGATGAAGTTAGGAGGTGAAACAACAGGAATTCAAACAGAGCGGGTTGACCCCAGAAATATTTCCATTTAAGTAAAATAAAATGAAAATGTTTGATAGTGTGATTTATGAAAAATTAGATGACCGAATATATATATTTCTCACATATATTTGGTCTTTGTCCACAATTCTTGACTCACAGCTCCCAAAGCCTTGGAATTTTCTAAGTGTCCAGAGTGATGAAGGTGTCTTTTGTTATGTTAATGAGGTGACTTTTGGAAAGTACTTAAAGATAGGGGCTAACTGCCAGTGGAGCAGACTCTGTGATTAGAGGGTCATACTTTCGGTCCTACCCCCACTTCCGGGGAGGGGAGAGGGGCGGGAGCTGGAATACAATCGCTAGAAGGTTTAGTCAATCATACCTACATAATGGGACCTGCATAAAAACCCAGAAGGATGGAGTTCCGAGAGCTTTGGGGATGGTGAACACATGGAGGTATTGGGAGTGGTGCACCTGGAGAGGACATGGACGGTTTGAGGCCCTTCCCACGTACCTTGTCTGATACATCTATCTGGCTGTTTCTGAGTTACATTCTTTTACAATAAACTAACGATTTAGTTAGTAACTAATTTCTCTCAGTTCTGTGAGGGACGCACTATAGCAAATTAATTGAACCTCAGGAGAGAGGGGCATGGGAACCTCTGATTTACAGAGAGTTAGTCAGAAGCACAGGTAACAACCGAGGCTTGTGACCAGCTTCTGAAGTGGTGGCAGGAGCAGTTTTGTAGGGCTGAACCCTTTACCTGTGGAATCTGATGCTATCTCTGGGTCTTTCAGAATTGTGCTGAATTCTCGGATACACTGCTGGGGTCTGAGAATTGTTTGTTGGTGAGTTGGGGGTCCCCACTCCACATCAAATAGGTCCTGGAATTAGTCCCAGGACCTATGTAGATAGTCACATAGTTTTAGGCATCTGAAAGATTCACAGAAATAAAATAAATCATATATCTATATACATACATATACATACATACATGTATATATTTATATGTATGAGTTTTAAACAAAAATGATAGTTTTATACATCTGGAAAATTCACATAAATGGGATAACTCACTTACAGGCATTCATATATATACACATGTATGTGTCTATCCATGTCACACATACATAAATCTCCATTTGTGGTAAAGTTTTGATACATTACAGTTGATATCCCTGGCACTATGAAACATTACACAAGTAATAAGGAGGGAGGAGTTTCAGGGGGAATAGTCCCGCTCAGGGGCGAGCTGGTCATTTATCAGTGCTGGGTAATTTCATTTGATGGGTGGTAAATGCCAGATGCCAGATCACATGACTGGAAAACTGGGCCGCTGATTAGCCAGTCTGCAGTTTGGATGAAATCAATCTTGCTGCATTTGGGTGGAATTGCCCATTTTGCAATTACCCAATGAGGAAAATATGAAAACACAAAGTGTGTTTGGCTCCTTCACCCGTGTGAAGTAGAGAGCCCTGCAGTGGAAGGGCACGTAATTGTCAAAGCCACAGTCTCTCACAGCAACGCAGCCTCTGGCTGTGCTTCTAGCCACAGTGAGGAACCACAGCTCAATGACTGTGTTTAAGAGAGATGTCAGGGCTAAAACAACCCCCTGGAATTCCAGGTTGCTTCAGCTCACATGTGTGCCAGAGCTGGTCAGAAAGAGCTCTCGCTGCAGAAGCACAAGCTGTGGGTTCGCTAATGTAGTGTTTCTGTAAACTTAGGTGATGACTGGACTGTACATATAAACTCAAAGAGGAAAAACCAGTTTTATTTCTAAGTTATTTAAGCCCCTGTGAATCCTGTGAATGTTTTGTGACCTCTCTCCACCTGCAGAATAAAATGCAGACTCCCCGGCCACATGTGGAAGTCCTTTCATAGTCAGATCTTAGCTTTGTTCGAGCCTTATCTCTTGCCAGTTCTCTCACCTTTGCCACGTGTTCTTTCTACATTCAAACTGAGGTTCTTCAAATAGATCCTTCTTTGTTGTGCTTCTGTGACTTTGGACAAGCTATTCTGTTTGGTGATATTGTATTATTCTCTCTCTTTTCTGCCAAGTAAATTGGTCATCCTTCAAGAACCAGCACAAATATCACCTGTTCTGAGGTCACCTTGCTCTGCCTTTTCAGCATATTATTTATATCTATTATGTGACTTGCTATTTTACACTGTGATCATGTCCATGTCTGTCTGCCTTTGTAGACTGCATGCTCCTAAGAGTAGGGACTGTGATACACTAATCTTTTTTTTTTTTTGATGCACTAATCTTTGTATCTAAGGCTGAAATAATGCCTAGCCCCTATGAAGCATGCAATAAATGTTTATTGAGTTAAAAAAAAAATACTGTACATACAGTTGATCAAATGAAGGTCTTCGAAGGAGACTATCTACACAAAAAGTGTTAGTCAGAGGCTCCCTTAGAGCTGGTAGAAGCTTATCTGGGAGAGATAAGCTCAGAATACGCTCAATAATAATGAATGGAGGGCTGTCCTCTTGTCTCTGATTATAAAATGCTTTATGTGAATGTCTCATATGTCATGTATTAAGTTGAACCACACAAACTTGCTGATAACCATAAGTCAAGAATGGTAAAATATTGTCAATTTTTATATGGCTTAATCTAATAGTTTTTTATATCATGATTCTTAATTATAAAAATTCATGCAAAAAAGTCCGTTTGGTGTGAGAATGAAATTAAAGATGAAAAGAAAGGGGAAGGCAGACAAGCAGACTAATGGATATTCCTGCAAAACAATAGCTGATAATGAGAAAAAAAAATTCAGCAACACACATGACAATATGCTTTCCTCCTTCCATACCTATGTTGGCAGCTAACACTGTTCTTGGACTGTCAGACATCTACCCGTATAGAATATTCTTGTTGATTTGGCCTATA